TCTTTCTTAATTTTGTACTTTTTTCTCTTATCCATTATGGGACGTGAAATATAATATTATTTGTGTGTTTTTTTTATCATTATTCCTTTTGAGAAGTCACAAGGTCGTGTATAGCGCGGAAAAGGTTACTCTCTTAGAAAGTGATAAATATCCATCGAAATATCCCACCACAGTGACTAAAATAAGATTCTTTAATAAAAAATTTTAAAAAAAAAATAAAAGGAAAGAAGAAGACAGTGAAAGTGAGATTTCTTCTGGTGAGAATTTAAATTTTGATTCACTACACTGCATGAGATAAACATTTTTTACTACTTATTTGGTATGAATTATTTATGCGTTTCTTTAATAGTTTAACATTTGTGTCTTTGTGACTGATTCATGACATAATAATAGAGTTTAATTATTATTATCAAATAATTTAGCATTTGATTTTTGACGTCATATTCTATTATTCTTTATACAGAAAGTTCAATCCCTGAGTCCTTGTATGATTAACGTTCCGTGAATTGGAGAATTATATTAAATATGCGTATTTTTGAAGCCTCAAATCATATTAAATATGCGTATTTTTCAAACTTCAAGTTATATCATAATATTATAAATCAACTTATATCATAATATTAGAAACCAATTTTTATATATTAAACATGTCATAATATTAAAAATCAACTTCAGTATATTAAACATAAATAACTATTTTACTTATAAGAGTATTTTTCAAAGAGAGTGTCTATAAAAAATTATTTTAACTTATTTAATTCAATTTTTTTTATTTATCAGATTTATTTATAAAATTAATTTTAATATTTTAAAATAAATTATCAATAACAAAAAAATCTTCTGTCACAATATAACTTATTTAACATATATCTAAAATATAATTTATATATCTAAAGTATTTATTTATATAAATTTAAAATATAACTTATATATTCAAATACAATATTTATTTTATATAATTTATTATATTTTTAATTATAAATAATAAATATTTAGCTTAGTTTTAATGGTGCTAGTAAAAGACTTTATATTATGTGGCTCATTTGATAGAGAATTCAATTTGCTTGACGCATGTGTTTAACAGGTTGATATGGGTATCAGGCGGGTTGGACCACACATTTTTTCCTGAATTACGGAGTAATTAACTGAGCATTGGTTAATTACAAGAATGGGGTGTGGTTATTTTAATTTAGAATGGAGAATTTTGAGTTTATCATGAATTGAAGGCTCTTATTATATCCACTCCCATGTTGACAAATAGAATATTGTTCTATGTCCTAGCTTCTACCATGTTGCCAACTTGTTTGCAAGTAACTTCACGGGAACTTGCTTATTTATGGCACCGAAAGTATTAGGATAATAACAATATATTTGCTTCTTGTTAGAAGTTAGTTGGGTTGGTCAATAGTTGTTTTCTGTTTTTTTCTATTATTTTGACTTTATTAGGTTTGTGCCAATATATAAGTAGTTAAGTGACTTGTAATGCAATGCAATTCTAGGTCCAAAGCAAGATGATTCATTATATGACGTGTGAGAAAGGTGTAATGTTATGATAATTTTTTGAATTACACGTACTTTAACATCGCAAATCGCACAAAGTACAAAGTACAATGCTACTCTTTATGGTTTGTTTCCATCCAATTATTATTAACTTACCACCTGGTAATTAGTTAAGAATTCTATAACAATGGTGTATCGGCACTACAAGAAAAATGTTAATTTTTGACGAAAATTTTTGACAAAAACAAGTAAATTTTCATGGATCTTTTTTCCAATAGATTTAAATTCGTCAGAAAAAGTGATATCGGAAAAAAAAATCCGTCACAAATTTCTGACGGAAATTTATAATTTTTTAATTTTAATAAATTTATTAATGTAACAATCCTCATATTTAGCCTCTCAATGGTTCTATTTCACAACATTTCACTGTGTAGCGTGTTTTATCCTTACTTGCACAATTTCAAGAAAACTTCCTAGAAGGTCACCCATTCCTGTACTACTCCAGCACGCTTAACTGTGAAGTTCTGATGAGTAAACTTGTGACACCCTCTACCCCAACATTAATACATAATAAATGTAAACAATTTTTTCTTCCTTTTTCTTTTTGAGTAAATAAAATCTTTCATAGCTTGATAACATCTTTCATGTATAAAACAAATGTCTCAAATATCATAAGGTAGAAGATTCACATTCGTAACTCATAAATCATAAAAAGTCAACATGTAAGTATCAAAACTCAAAAATCATAAAAAAAAATAATAAAGGAAAATAAAGATTAATTCCAGCAAAGGTGGCAGTGCCTCCTAGTTAGGAATTAATTTATAACTTCCAAATCATGTAATAAAAATAATATGACAAAGATGTACATTTTGGTCTTTTATCAAGAACGTTCAAAATTATAAAAGAAAAGAAAACTAAGGCTTTTTAAAATAACATCCTAAACTAAGCTTAGCTATATGCCCGATGTCACATCCTATCAGAGCATGCCCAACTGAAGCCTTAAGCCTCATCACCAACATCCTCATGATGATGATCACCTACAACATAATTTAAACATATACAAGAACAATAAGGGAGTGAGAAACATCTCACTCAGTTTTAGGTGCAGAAATAAAGGTTAGATAGCACACACAACAATCATAAGTCATAAACACTAATTAATCACATATAAAAAATACCCATACATAATCAGTATCACATATACACTCATTTATCATGCTATGATGTCATGGACTCGACTCATAAATGCATGCATGTGGCGCCATACGAAAGTTTCACATTTCATCACTGGTGACCCTAAGGTACACCTGGTTACATCACTGGTGACCCTAAGGTACACCTTGTTAGCTTGTTACATCACTGGTGACTCTAAGATACACCTGGTTACATCACTAGTATGCGGCTTCAGCGGCGCATATTATATATGTATATGATGCATGTCATACATTCATTATTTCATTGACTCAACATTTGACTTATTACAAAATTTCATTAATACATCATATCATCATTTTTCATATTCTCATAATCATAGTTTGTCTCAATAGTCCATTCTTATGTCTCATGTCATTTGTGCATATTTCACATAGTCATGTCATAATTATTCCTCATAAGGTCCGCACAGGAATCCACAAAGAGCATTCTTATTCATATTAAAACTTATTTATTTTTAACATTAATTACATATTCATTTATTACTTCCAACAAGGAACAAAGTAAAGCAAACAGAAAATAAAACAGAACACATTAATACTTTGCATGTCCCTAGAAGCATGCAACAGGAAAGGGATTGGGGGCCAATTCGACAATCAGACTATCCAACAATTATTCCCACACCCCCGAGCGAGGTTTCTCACTTCCCCCTTACCTCGATAAGCAGGAGCTGAAATTAGAGCAGAACCTTGCTAATCTCCTCCTCTGGATTCCCTCTTTTTTTCTCTCACTTTCTTTCTCTTTTTATTTCTCTCTCTCTCTCTCTCTTTCTCTCTCTAAGTTTTTACCCTTGGTCAGTTATAATTTTTTCACAACCCCTCCCTCCTATTTATAGGCATTCAGGGGTACCCGAAACGACCTGTTCTGAATCCAGAACGACCCGTTTTAGAGCCATTCGTTATATGCAAAATTTACAACTGGAACGGCCTATTCTTAAAATCAGAACGGCTCGTTCTCAAAATTGGAACGACCCATTCTAGGGTTCATTTTAACACACATTGACCATAATTGCAACAACCCGTTTCTAACTTGGATTTTAGGCCATTTTTAGAATCTTGGAACGGCCCGTTTCACTTTGAGAACGGTCCGTTCTACTTTTGGAACGACCTGATCTGGTACTTTAAAAATAGTTACTTTCATCATTTGGAACGGCCCGTTCCACATTTTGGAACGGCCCGTTCTGGACCTAAAAAAAATAGAATTTCATATAAAATATTAAATTTTTATAATATTTAAAAAAAATCTCTAAAATGTTCTATAAAAACCCTTTTTATTAATTAATAACTATAAAAAATAATTTCCATAAATATAAAAATAATAATTAACTATTGTATAAAATTTGGGATGTTACAAAGCTACCGAAATGTATATGTATGTTGTCAGTATAATTTGTACAAATTAATTCATTTAAGTCATCCTCAAATATACAATCTCATATTTGTACTATAATAATATTATATAATAATTTTATATTACGAATAATAATAATAATAATAATAATAATAATATATTTAATTATTCTTTATTTATATGTACTTACTTTTATAATTAACATCTACTTATTTCTATTTAAAATTATAATTTAAATTATTTAATTTTATAATTTATAATGATAATATAATTTATAAAATTATAAATATTTATTTATTACATACTTATAAATTAAATTTTAACATTTTAAATAAATTATTAATTAATTTAATATATTTATTTACCTTAAATCAAACATATAAAATTCAAAAAATGTATTTATCCTTGTTTTATTTTCTAATTATCAACCATTAATAAAATACTAACTTAAAATCTTAGGCAATTATATAATAATATTCTCATATCAAATTTAAAATCAGAGATTAGTTATACAAAAATATTAAGATCATATAGTAAATTGTCAATAAGATTTTAGTTAAATAATTTAAAATAATTAATGTTTCAATTATATTGTTAATTAGCAAATAAATTATTCCGAAGCTAATTAAATTTTTTATATTAATTATTAGTAAAATTTAATAACTTTTAATTTAACAATTAATTGGATCGATGAAATTCAACACACATCATGAATTACTGAGCAGAATAACTTTATCAAGAATTATTTTGTAAGTTATCTTAAATCAAACATATAAAATTCAAAAAATGTATTTATCCTTGTTTTATTTTTTAATTATCAACCATTAATAAAATACTAACTTAAAATCTTATCTAATTAT